CCGATCTCCATATATTTCATGGTGAGAAAATTTTTCCATAACCTCCCTGTCAGCACTGTGAGGCTAAAATACACCTGCAATAGGACTTTATCGAATAGATGCGGGCATTGGTGAAATTTGAGTGTTTGTCTGAATCGCCCACTTCATTATTCACGGTCGTCGAAACGGAAGGGGTTACAATTTGGCTTCTGTGTATGAACTCTAATAGAGTTGTGATAACGTGAGGTTCAACATTAGTGTATCAGGTCTTGGAAGAATTTTCAAACAAACTATTTAGAAAATCTCCCTACACAAGTATTGCACTGCTCATAGTGCATGCAAGTTTCGCCTATTGATTAAAATCAACCTGCTTAGGTTATTGGGTATCTGATTAGTGTATGATGACGTGATTTGTGATTTTCTTAACTTTTTTTGATATCTTTCTTGGACAGCATTCATTCGAGTCTGTATTCTTCCTTTTGACAAGTTATGTGACCTAAACTGATGTAGACTAATGACAAAAATCCGCGATATTTCCGCGAGGACGTTTAACAGTTCACTCTGAGTTGGTGCTAGAGCATCAGCTCCTGTCTGAGACTTACTTGATGGTTACGCCGATAATATTTTCCAACACACACTTTTCCCACCTCCCCAGGAATTGCATGTCACGTGAAATTCGACCGTACAGTGACATAAAAAAGGCTTACCCGAGGTCTAAAAAACACCTACCTGTATTCTGTCTTCAAGGTTTTGATCATCGGTGCTTTAACTGTCTGATGATGAGGCTCGCAAGTTACTACCCGTCTGCAAAGAAATTGTCTGTAAACGTAGGTAAATGTCTACAGTCTCCAGAACAGCAGATTAAAATCGCAGTCGGTGCCGCAAAAATATGCTTCATTCACCACCTCAATTAGTTTCTGGCGACAAGTTCGTGACATAGATCATGACATGGCGAAAAAAGGGGAGCTATAGTCAAACTGAGCTCTGTAGAGTCTTCACACTCCCGTGTTATTGATATACGTGATTTTATTTGCACGATCCCCATGGTGGGTGGGTTGTCACACCTTCCTTAAATTTGTTTCTTCTTACTGGCTGGGCTAATTTTGTGTAATGTTAGCAAAGGAAACTGAACGGCACCCTACTCTGAAGTGACGCTTTGAGTTGTTAGCTGTAGTTCTTTTGGAAACCGTCCGTACCTTGTTTATGATAGCATTATCTGTGGACAAGCTTTTCCGAACTATGTCCTTACACTTGCCCTTCCTCCCCGCCCCTTAGCAGGACGGAACCATCCGAACCAAGTGCGCTGAATAACTCACATAATTTAATAATTCCTAGCTGTCACAGTTCAACGTGGCCCTTTTAAGTAAATCTTGGCCGGCATCCTTTCGAATTAGCCGGGTTGTGCTTTCAACAGTCCAACTGGTTGTCTTTCGAACTGGATTTTTCGTTTCACCTGTGTCGCTTTCGAGGCATAATTTTTAGTACCATTTAAACATCCCCAACCAGCTGTAAGCCTTAACAAGTTTGAATTGTGGTATCGGGTCACGGCGACGAATTCGAATGATTCTGTAGATTCTACCTAAAAATAACAGCCTGTTGTACTACCCTCTTATCACAGTACCGCGCACAAGTGGAGACGTCATCGCTGGTCATGCGGACATTAGATCTAATCACCATAGTCGTTTCACCGGCCCTCCCGATGGCCATGACCGTTGGAATCGTGTTCGCCCAACGTCGTCTCCGAGCTATTGACATCTACTGTATCAATCCAGGTGCTATCACAGTCTGTGGGGTTATCAATATTGCTTGTTTTGACAAGGTAAGTCGCATTCTATATCTTGACTTTTTCTACTTCATATGGTCATTATACGCTTTTTACTCCCTATCAATGCTTCTAGACCGGCACTTTGACAGAAGATGGCATGGATTTGTGGGGCGTTCTACCAAACATACAAGGTGTTTTTGGGGAACCTATTTTCAAGCCTAGTGAACTGGAGAATGGTCCGCTCTTGGAAGCAATGGCAACGTGTCACTCACTGACGCTGATTGACGGTGTGCTTTCCGGTGATCCTCTGGATCTGAAAATGTTTCAGTCCACTAAGTGGGTACGTTTTATTGCTGGAAATTGTATTCGAGTTTATCACTTACGAGTTGCTAAGCCACCAGCTGATGATTGTCCTCCTGTTCAAAGGGATGTACACCATGGCATTTTTGAACTGATCGACTTCCTTGATAGAACGATTTTCTCTGCGTATTTTTCTGGTAAATGATAGTTTTTTCCATAAAGAGTCGAAATCCCGGATACCATCTTCGATTCATTGTTTTTGCTCTTGCGCGTCGTATCTAACGGAGCAAGTTCACTTTGAGCCTTGCCAGACCTAACCACATTCACGATTTAAACTGATTCTATTGGTGTAGCAGTTATGACTTGTTTTGACCGACGATTTCATCATATTTAAGAACCGCATAGGCAACGGCAAAATAAGTGTTTAAAAACATCGTAAACGAGAGATTCAGCTGGCCTCCAGGTGAGTCTCTCGGAAAACCAACTTTGTTTGGAAACGAGCGTATTTCGCTAAAGCCCACTTCCATCACACCAACTGAGTTTCCGATCTTTAAGGCTATTTACTCTTAACATAATTGCGTGAAGTACCATCATACCTTGTAAGCGAAGTGATGGGTGTGATCAACAGAATTTCCGCTTGGTTTGAAAGCTTAGGTAGCGATTCGCTAGGACTCCGATTCCGATCATTATGTCCATCGTGCCATAGTTTTTGGTTGGCTGTTTACACCGTAAGGTGCTCGAATGTTGACAAATACAACCATTTGCACGTCACTTTGGTTCACACTCAAATGAATCTCTCTTTTATTATATTCGTCAACTGAATGTGCTGCACAAAGTCTCCTTCATGTTTCAGTTGGTACGATATTCAAAATATCGGAATACCTTTTTATATAGAAAACTACTCGCAGGTTTGCTGAAAACTCCTCAATAGCCGAAGACCGGTCTTACCTCTCTTGAGGCTTCGTATTTTGTCAACTTCAAGTTCCTGGGAATTAAAAGTCAACGTGCGAACCAACAGGAACGTTTGAGTGTACGCGCGAACCGTCAAAAGTCTGTTGCTGGACGGTTCTTACGCTGCGTTCCCATTTTCGAAATTTGTCACATCTCCTTCTTTCGCATTCGTTCTATTCATTACCTTACAAATGCTAATCGAACTCTTTGTGATTGGCTTGTGTGCGAGCAACCGCAAAGAGGCCAACGGCAAGGATAGCGCATGAGCAGTCAGTTTTCATTCGTACATGCTAACTCATAATGTTATGGAAAAACTGGGGCCCACTTGATCACCAGGTGTGTTCAGCGCAATGCATCTGCATGGCTTGAGGGAATAGGCTTTGTTTGTTCTATGGTATACTCTTTCCTATAGTGGTGCAAGTTTGTTATGCCATGGTTCCTTGTCTCCACATACCTTGCGTTTAATTGTTATCAAATGCTTTCTAGTGATGGTTTTAGCCGCGGTGTAATTCCACTTCAATCCGCCGCTAATGCTGACGCGAGCGGTCGAAAACGGTCAGCGCAAAGTTTTAAATGATGTTAGCCATGTTAAAAACTGACAGCCACCTATGCATCGAAATATTTGTAATAAGTGGTTTTAGATTAACATTCCACTGAATGCGCAAATAGAGGCGCGTTAGGTCATTTTCAAAATAACCACGTACTTCGCCTTCAGATGAAATGGGGCCAGTCCAAAAATGGGCGCTCCCGAGAAGTGACTGTGAAATTTTGCAGTGCGGTTTACAAGTAGCAACGAGCAGGAACACTAGCTTGGGAAAAGTTACTTTACTGCATCATTTAGTAACTCTGATGTACTTCTGATGTTTTTTGTAGGTTTGAATAAGGTCCAACTGTTTCGCGCCTGTTTAGATGCATAATAATTGGCTATTCAGTAAGCGAAGCAAAAACATTGTCGTAGTCAGTCCTTGTTTCACATAATGGCACGATCCAATAACGTCATATGACCAACTTTACAGATAGTAATCGACTAGTTGGTGTGCTTTCCTCATTGGTGGTGGAATTGGGGAGCTAAAGCTCTCCATGTTACTGCAATGGGTGTATGGTACGTTTGTTAGTTGTTCCATTCAACTGTGTGCTGGGTCGCTTTCTCCCTTCCGAAGAAAGTCCGTGCATTAAAAAATCCCACTCAGACGATTCAATACTTGTGGAGCATGGGCAGGTCCGATAACGTTCTTGCTGATGCAGTTGACAATTTGGAGTCTTTTGAAGTTAATTGTTTCCATCTATTTTGAATGAGCTACCCGGTTTGCACAAATTTCCACAGTAAAACAATACAGTGGTGGCAGTGAACATGTGGACGAAGCGTGGCAAAATGTGAAAGGAGCCATACTAGCGGCGTTCAGTGCTGCCTGCCCGACTTCTCCAATTCGACCACGGGACCACTGGATGTCGTCGAGGTCGTTATCCATGATTGATGCCAGGAAAGCCATACCAGCAGGCAACGAGTACGACGGCGCACGCAAATCCCTCAAACGCCAAATAGTGAAGAGTCTAAGGAAAGACCGAGAGCTCTGGTGGACATCGAAAGCTCGGGAGATGGAGAAGGCTTTTGCTACGGGAAACAGCCGTGTCCTTTATCAACTGATACGATCGACTGGCCCTAG